AGTTTGAGAACCACTGCTCTAGACGCCAACAAATTCAACCTCCCCTCATGCCAGTTGCCCACATCTTTTTTATTACAGGGTCAACTGCGAGGTTTAGGCCCTAGGAGGGGGTCTGCACCAGGCTGAATTACCTGGGGCTGGCAGGGGTCAGGGACAGAGCTGAGGGGGCTGGTCCAGAGAGAATGGAACACTAAGAGGTCAGACCTACACCCCATGTAGGGGGTGTCCCCACATGTTTCCCACCTTGCAAGCCCCTGCTCAGAGGTATGCTCAGGATGTTGGCGTTGGCCCAGACTAAACTCTGACCTTAGCTCCTTTTTCCACTCCAGATGCTCTCTGATGAGCCCAGCATCAAACTGAAGTCAGACTACCCTGGTGAGCAGAGCAAGACTCTGTGGGACTCTGAAATGTGGGCCAGCATTGCTTAGAGCATTGTAAATTGGAGGTTCTATGCCATCTCCATAGGATGGGGCACTTGGTAGGTAGGAGAGGGGTTTCTCTTGAGGTTCCCTAGAGAGTTGAATAATAGGATCTCATACACACCCTGCTCCGATGCTCACATAAACCACTGAAGTGAGGATCCTTCCCCCAGAATGAGCAATCAGAAAGGTTTCCTACTAGAAAGAAACTGGAGAGTAGCCACTGTGTCCTAGGAGCCAGGCCCGTTTCTGAGTGCCAAGGGGTCCAGGAAGAGAAGAGGTGCCTTCGCCAATCTGATAGGGGCACAGGCCCTACCCTAGAGGAGCCCCCAGGCTACTGAAGGAGACAGGCTGCCCCTCCAACATCCCCATGAATGGCAAAGTCACAGACGCAGGGGGTAGCAAGATGGCACAGCAGGGAAGGAGACAGGAAGATTTGCAGGAGGGGTGGGAGGAAGATCTCTGTGGTTCAGAGATTACCATTGGATACACTCCCCAGGGACAGAGTCTGAAGAGCACAGTCCCAAAAGATAGGGTGCTGGAGGAGATGAGGGAAGGCAAGAATTCTCTTGAAGACTGTGATTGGGAAACTTTTATCTAATGCCAATGGGTGTGTCTAGAAAAGGAAGGGACAGATTAAACTGATGCTTCATGACAATTACAGTGATAGCACCTTGGTAGAGTAAAGGAAAGGAATGAAGAAGAGAGGGAGAGGCTGGAGTCAGGGAGGTGGTTGAAGAGTTGTCCTGGGCATCAGCTGATGGGATGGACAGCAGGTCAGGGGACACAAGAATAGGAGGGCACACAAACCTAAGACAAGTTGTGGGGCACCCCCGGGCCAGAAGAACTCCAGGCAGGGTGAGATGAGAAGAGAGACCGGCAGGGCCATGGTAGGCAGGGAGAGATGTAGGTACGTGGCTGAAAGAGAAGTTGTGTTTTTACTTATGGAACGCAGGGACTGTGGGTGTGGAGACCCAGCCTCCCTGTTGGCCAGCCCGCTGCAATGCAGAAGACAGGAGCCTCCTCAGAAACGACTTGATCATCCTTCCATCTTCCCAAACTGCAGAAGGGTGGAAGGATAAAGACCTAGGACAGAATCTCAGAAAAAACCACAGTGAAGGGCTGGGAAAGATGACAGAGCAGACTAAAGTTATAGAGGCGAGAAAGCCACAGCACCAAACACCTTCACCTTTTATATGCTGAGCGCCATTCCAAGCCCTTTACAAATATTGACTCTGTTAATCTTCATAACTATTATTAGCCCCATTGTAAGGAGGAGGAGACTAGTTTAGCTACCAAGTAGAACAAGATCTAAACCCAGGAAGTCGGACTTCAAGGTTGTGCTCCTCCCCACTTGTGCCCACTGTCTCCCAGAGCAGAAGAGAGCCTGGGACAGTAGGGGACAGTTGTGTGGGCCATCCCAGAGAGGCCCCTGGGCAACTTTAATGATGGACTTTTTCCATTTTGGAGTTGGGACTTTTTTTTTTTTTTGGCCCAGAAGGTGCTCTCCCTTTTCTTCCCAATCTCCATTTCAAGTGTCCTTGCTTTTGTTGAATGCACTTCTTGAAACCAGCCTAAGTCCTTCCTGATGCAGCCCTAGCCCTTTCCCCAACTCTTCTGCCATTGAAAGAGTAGCAGGACGACTCTGCCAGTCCCTTCTGTGTTGCATCTTCCTGGAGACGGGAAGTGTTCATTCAGGCCTCCAAACCCCCAGCTTCTCCACCTCTTTCTCCAGGCCACACAGCTCAGTTCTTACTTCTCCCTCACATTCCAGAGCCAGCCCTTCCCTCCCCCCACCACCTCAAATCCAGGCTTCAAGCTGGCAGACACCCACAGAGGGTGTTTCCCACAATCCTTTTCTCTTTGCCCTTTCAAGGTTCTGATGGGGGAGGGGATGAAGAGGGGCCACCCAGGATGCACTTTCTCCATAAAGAAGGGTGGCAACATGTAGGTTAAATTCAGACAAGGACGAAAAGCACTGCACTTAGCCTGCAGAAGAGACTGAGGTGGTGTGATAAACTCAGAAAGCTCTCATTCCCTGGAGCTGCCCAGCCAACCACCCTTCATTGGGTGCTAAAACACTTAGATTCCAAATCTCCCTTTTCTCTCCAATCTTTCTGCAGTTTCCTCTGAATGGTGTGCCTTGGATTATCTCTTCTCTCTGCCCCCTTCCAGGGCCCCACTGCTATCCTGGACAGCTTGGCCTCAGCCTGGACAGTAGCACTGACCAGTCAGGCAAGAGAAGAATCTAGGCCGAGGAAGGGAGGGAGAGAGGAGGTTTTTTTCTTCCGTCCTAAATAATCTTTGGCAAGAAAGTTTAGGGACGCCATTGCCCCGTGTCTCTTTCCCTCTCCACCAATGCTAGGGGTCTCAGCTTAGTTTTCCATCTTGTGTGCAGAAACCAAGCATTTTGCTAGGAGGCCCAGCAGTCTCCTTTCAAGGAAAAGGAATTGGTCTTTCTGCATGGTCTGCCCCTACAACCCTAAACCCCTTCTTCCATCCATGACAGGATGAGGACTCCAAAGGACTTCCTCTGAACCCACCCAGATCCAAGTGTCTAGCCTCTCTTGTACCTAGGGTGAACAAGGGAAGGACACTCCCGGAGTCTTCTGCCAGTCTGTTCCCTCGTAGTTCAAACCAACAAAGCTGGAGCTGTAAACAAGCTCATTCATGCTCAGGGGTACAGGTAGGGCACACAGAGGAGGTGGGGGATGCCAGTGGATAACTAATTCCCCTGCAGATATAGGAACCCACACACTGGAGGTACGTCAGCTGTTTGAGAAACAGTTTTTTTTTTCCTTCAGGATAGGGGGCAGCAGTGGGATTCTGCATTAGAGCCACAGAAGGAATGGGACCATAACTCTGACCCCCCCACGGCCACTCCCACCCTCCCACCCCTACTTAGTAGAGTCATTGCCATTTGATATCCGCAGAGACAACTTGGCTGCTCAGGCTCTGGGTGGGGGGTGGGGGGGATGGCTCAGAAAACAGCAGCTCCTTTCAGGACCCAGGTTGGCAAAGGCTTTGGGAGGCTGGACCGGCCCAGATCACCCCCAACATGCCCTCCCTTCTTCCCTCCCTCACCACCACCAAAGGACTGGAGGGGAGGCAGGAGGAGTTGGCACTGCCTGGGCCATGCCTATTGCCTCCAAAGTCCACCCTGGACCCTCTCCCTGGCATGATGCCTTTCCTCCTCCTCCTACCCCATTTCTTCCTCCCTAAAGAACCAACTATGAGCCAGAACACCAGGCTCCTTCTAGACTTGGTCCCACAGACCTAGTCTACATGCTGAGGAATTAACAAGCCCCACCACCCAGCACAGGATGGTGCTCACCATTGTGCCAACAGTGTGTTCAGAAATCCCTGGAGATTAGGGAGCAGGTTTCAGGATGAAACTAAATTGAACTCAGTGGTAGTTGCCATCCCCCCAAACTGGTGGCTGGTTTCTTGATATGTACTCCAGGTCTTCCTCTAAACAAGGAGCACCTCTCACATGCTGGTCTCTAATCTCTCATCATCATGTCCCTCCCACCCAGACTGTCCAAAGGAGTCCCAGCGGGGAGCAAAGAAATTTAAACACCACAGCAAGAGCAGACTGGCCAGAAATCCTTAGAATCTATTTTGTTTAGCAACACAACCAGGCTGTAAGCTCTGGCCTCCTTTGGGTTCAAATTTCTTCACCATCCTACTAACCCAGCTGCCTCACCCTGTCTGGGGCACCCATTTACTGGAATGAAAACTTAAGCTACCAGAGACTTACCACTGTTGTCCTCTACCCACCCTGGGGTTCAGCTCTCCTCCCCCAAATCAGGAAGTTCCAAGCTTTCACTCTTTGCTAACACAGGTGCCCTTGGTTAGTTCCCGGTGGAATGGGAAAGGGGCACCTCTACCTGGAGAAGGAATTTATAGATTCCCATCCGCCCTTCCTGCTTTAGTCGTGGCCCTGCTCCTTGCCTTCTGGGGATCTTAGTGTGAAACAGCTGGCATGGGTTGCGGAGGAATGAGGAGGGGTATCTTGAAGTGGAAGCCAAGTAAGAATGGAAGGCAGAGATTGGGTGGGTAAGGGTCCCATGCACACCAGGCTATACTGGTCTCCCTAATCCAAGCTGCAAGTATCTGTTTTTCTCCTCATGTGTGAACTAGTGATCAGTGGGTGTCACTATGTGATTGTCACTTTATGGGGAGGTGGGAAAGGGCTGGGCATGGGAGTAACCTGTTTATACTGGGAGGAGGGGGCGCTGTCTGGTGTGCCCGCGTGAGGAATGTGTAGCTATGCTTGGTGGTCACCTTATGAACTGGAGGAGCAGTGATGCAGCCACACTGAGAGGAGACAGCAGGGAAGCCCCTTCCTTAGATTAGAAGGCTGAGGTGACCAGCCCTGGTAGAGCTCCCTTCATGGGAAGCCCTTCTCAGGAGGCTACGATCGGGACTGCCCAAGGCTAGGAGGTAGGGGAACGGGACCGCATCACTGAGGCCGGCTAGGGTAGGGTCTTAGGGGCGGGGGTTGCCGATGTCTCTGGAGAGTTAGGGGGACAGGACTCCGGCCGGAGCGGCAGCACTCCATCAGGGTCTGGGTCTTACCTTGGGTCCGGGGTGGAGTGGCCCTTCCGATGGGCCGAGGGGCAGCGGGACAGATGGACCGACGGGGCGGGCTGGAGTGAGGAGCGGAGCTGTGCGACAGGCAGGGCCAGGACTCTTAAACCCGGAATGGGATCAGATAAGGGCTTGTCCAGGGGCCGAGGCCGGGGTCGGGCCGGCCGGGGGCAGAGCTGGGCCGGGTCGGGCCGCCCCCTCCCTCCGCAACGCCAGAGCCAAACTTTGTGTGAATGGAGGGGCCCTGAGGGGGGCCGGGCGGGCGGGGGCGGGGGGGCTCCGGACAGACCAATGGGAGAGTGGAGCGCCAGGCTCGAGCGGTCGGGATTGGAGGGGCTTGGGCAGGGGGCGGGGCGTAGGGGGCAAGGAAGCGGAGACCCAGACAGAGCGAGCCGCGGAGAGAAACACCCAAAGGCAGAGACCCAGACAGCCTCGCGGAGAAAGAGAGATGAAGAGACGATACGGGACGCGATAGAAGCCGAGCTGGCAGGATGACAGGGGAAGGGAGAAGGAAGAAAAAGGGAGGCAGTCGTGTCAGAGACGGGGAAAGAGAGCGGAGCCGCGGGGGCGGGACTGGGGCAGAGGTAATGAAGTGGAAATGAATTCAGGACCAGCCCGGTGGCCTTGCAGGCGGCGCCCGGGAGTGGGATGAGGCGGAGCGGGTCTGGGCTCCGGGGGCCGCACAATTCCCGTGTAGTGCCGGGTTCCTAAGTACCAGGAGCGGTGCTAGGTGCGAAACGCGCAGAACATTATCCCGCAGTTGGCTTCGTCTGAAAGATGAGGCCGGAACCCGCAGCGACGTCCAGGAAGCAAAGACCACTCCCTCTGCTTAGGGGGCTCTTAGCAGATGTGGGAGGAAAGATGTGAAATCTGATAAGGGTACCAAAGAATGAAGAGGATTCTGGTACTGAGAGATGGTGGGGAAGGCATTTAAAGCACAGGGAACAACGTAGCCAAGTCCTGTGGGGACGCGAAAATGCTCGTCTGCTTGGGAAACAGCATCAAGCTGTTCCATTTACTAGAGTACACGGTGATGGTTTTCAACCTATTCGTCACCGAAGACTTGTTTTATTAGTTAAATCCATGTTTTCAGAGGTTGTAATTCACCATCCCCCCAAGCATTTTTTACGGAAGAAAATAATTATTCCCCCATTTTTGTTCATCGTAGACATTTAGCCACTAATCAATTACCAGTTAGTTACCATGTTGAATCGATATAAATCCAGGAGCTAAAGCAAACAAACTGGACATTTTAGCTTCATTTAACCTACACAAACCATAAGATAGGTAAATGTGCATTTCAGATAGTCCTCACTGGGGAAGGAGGGAGACCTGGGCTTCCTCAGGCATAGTGTTTGAGTAACTGTAAAGCCATATCAGTTAATTTTCAGGCCAGTTTCTGTAGGCAGTGGAAAGCAAGTGAAAAAACTCTTGAGCCGGGATAGACAAAGCCATAGCAGAATTATAGGAATAATCTGGAGGTGAGTAGGATTGTTTTATCCAAGAGACAGAATAGGGAAGTAGACTAGAAGTACTTGCTATATGGTAGGCATGAAGAAATGAAAGCCCAGATCAGGTTGGCAACAGTGAAAAGCAGAACAGACAAAATGAATTAGAATACAGAAAAATCAAAAGAAAATGAAAAAATTGGGGGGCCAACTTGATATGATGAGCAAATGAGAGAGGCTTCAGAGATCACACCAGGGTCTCAGGTCTAGATATCAGGAGAATTGTGAGCTCAGGATGGCCATAGGGAAGCCCAGGAAAGGAGTCAACCTGGTGAGGAGATGGGGATGGGGGAAGAGGAGGTTCAGAGCTGAGAAGTGTAGAAAGGGTTCAGAGTTAGAGAGAGCAGGAGGGGGTTGCTGTCAGGGCAGGGTGAGCTGAAGCCCTAAGAGCAGGGGTGCTCCTAACAAAGACTGTGCACAGAGGAAAGGCTGAGGATCACCTGCGTTTAGAGGATGGGAAGGAGGACTGCCAAAGAGCGACAGAGAATCCACCAGAGAGGCAGGAAGGAGACAAAGAGAATGGGATGTCACAAGAGCCAAGGCAGGAGAGATTGTTAAGGAGGAGGTTCTAATGGTGACAGCAGGTGCCGAGAGCGGAGGGGCTGGATTTGGCAGTGAGAGAGTCACCGGTGACATTTGAGAGCAGTTTCAGAAGAGTGATCAAGGTGGGAACCAGATTACAGGCTTTGCCATTAGAAAATGAGAAACTGTTAGCAAGTACAGGTTACACTTGTGAAAACTTTACTAAAGAGGAGGGAAACCCAGTAGAAGCCAGGGCAATGCACTAGAAATGATCTCCTAGCTTTTCTTCTTCAAGTTCTTAAGTCACTAGGAATGAGGGAGGGAGGTAATATGTCTGAGGGCCAGCCGGCAAGGCTGGTATAAGAGCTTTAAGGCACTAGGAATAGGAGGCCTAACAGATCCTAAGGAGTCCATAGTCTTTTTTTTTTTTTTTTTTTATGAGACAAAGTCTCACTATGTCGCCCTCAGTAGAGTGCCATGGCATCAGTCACAGCTCACAGCAACCTCAAACTCTTCGGCTCAAGAGGTTCTCTTGCCTCAGTCTCCCAAGTAGCTGGGACTACAGGCACCTGCCACAATGCCTGGCTATTTTTTGTTGTTGTTGCAGTTGTTTAGTTGGCCCAGATCAGTTTCAAACCCGCCACCCTCAGTGTATGTGGCTGGCACCGTAACCACTGTGCTACAGATGCTGAGCTGGGAGGCCACAGTCTTAACATTCAGAGTTAGAGAAGAGTTGGAGGCTATGATAAAACTCCAAAATAAATGTGAAAGACACCAGAGAAGAGAGACAAAAGGAACGTAACAACTTATGGAATTATTAACAGACATTTATTGCATACTTATTATTTTTCCAAAAGTATTATCCAATCATTTGGCTTCAACTACCACCCATGTATCACCCACCCAGATGTCCATTTCAAACTCAACATATTTAAAGTAAAATATGTCATCTTGTTCACAAAAATGCTCCTCTCTGTTTATTCTCTGCCGCAGCGAATATACATGGACGAACTAACATCACACAACCAGAACCGTGGCAGCCATTTTTCATTCCTCCTCACCTCATCTCCTTTAACCAATGCATCCACTTCCTAAATCGCCTAAGTATCATCCCCTTCCTCTCTCTCCCATTAGTACGACTGTAGTTCAGGATACCATCACCTCTCACGGCAGCCCTCTAACTGGTCATCCCACAGCTTATGTTCCTCCACTCTAATGATTCTTCAGACCATAAATTTCTTTAAAAATAATTGAACACCAATAATGTATATATTTCTCATAAATGCAAATCTGACCATGTCACTTCCCAGCTTAAAAACCTTTGATAACAGCTGGGGACAGTGGCTCAATGCCTATAACCTAGCACTCTGGGAGGCAAAGGCAGGTGGATTACTTAAGTTCAGGAGCTCAAGAACAGCCTAAGCAAGAGAGAGACCCTGTCTTCACTAAAAATAGAAAAAACCTAGCTAGGCATTGTGGTGCATGCCTATAGTCCCAGCTACTTAGGAGGCTGAGGCAAGAAGATTGCTTGAGCCCAAGAGTTTGAGGTAGCTGTGAGCTATGATGCCATGGCACTCTACCCAGGTCACCAAGCAAGACTCTGTCTCAAAATAAATAAATAAATAAAATAAAAACTTTTAATAGTTTACTGGTTATTAGTAAAGACCAAGTTCCTCACCCTGGAACATAAGGGCCCTATAACTTGGATCTGGGGCCATTCCAGCCTCAATTTCTTCCACTGCCCCTACACACCAAACCTGCATACATCCCCTCCTTTAGTTCTCTCAGTTTTGTGTTCTCTTTTTGTGCCTTCGTCTTTGAGCCTTTGTCACTTACATAGCTCCAACTGCTGTCTCTGAGTGATGCCCAAATCCCTAACTTCAATCCTACACTCTCACTAGAGCTTCACCTCCAAGGTTGCACTTGTCTGCAGGGGATTTCCACTCCAACTTGACAGGGCCCAAACCCAACTCAGTATCTTCCTTCCCAGGCCGGGCATGCTTGAGACTTCCTTATTTCTGTGTTATTCTTGGTCAATCAGACTGAAACATTAAAAGTGATTTTTTACTCTTCCTCTTTCCCCTTGCCCTGTGCCTCCTTCCTGGAAATGGCAATTAAGCCACCAAATTCTGTGGAGTCTCCCTCTGTTGTATCTGTCTAGGATGTCCTTTTCCATTCCTGTGACCATCACCAGGAAAGAAAGATCAGTACCTGCCCAGGACCTCATCCACTCTCACCCTTCTCTTTAGTCTCAAAGGAAGAGGCAACTTGTCATCTTGATAGCCCCTGTGCCCTTGTATGAAACCCCAAACAGGTGCCCCCGGCTTATAAGACACAGTCCAAACTCCTTTGCTCAACTCCTAGAGTGCTCCTCTGAGAGGACAGGGAAATCAGACTCAAAAGGCAGAAGCAGAAAGGAAGATCTTGTGGTGAAGAGTCTCCTGCAGAGTTCCTTCCCCTTCACTCACAGTGGGATGGGGTGGGTTAGGACGGGGTAATTAGAAAGAGTTTACAAGTCCTAGAACAGCAGGGGTGTGAGATTCTGGGAAAGGGCACGGATAGCTTCAACACCACTTCAAAACCTTAAATTAAGGTTTTCTACTCAAACTATGCTTCATAACATATACATATATTCATGAACTATATTGTTTTGTACATATCAAATACCACTTTTTAATTTTCATTTTTTTGTAAAAAGAGAAGTGCTGGCTCAGCGTCTGTGGCTCAAGTGGCTAAGGTGCCAGCCACATATACTTAAGGTGTCGGGTTTGAATCCAGCCCAGGCCCGCCAAACAACAATGGCAGCTGCAACCAAAAAATAGCCAGGCATTGTGGCAGGCGCCTGTGGTCCCAACTACTTGAGAGGCAGAGGCAGGAGACTCGCTTGAGCCTAGAGTTGGAGGTTGCTGTGAGCTGTGATGCCACAGTACTCTACCCAGGGTGACAGCTTGAGGCTCTGTCTCAAAAAAAAACAAAAAAAAGAAGTGCTAAAACAGTCATGAGAAGCCCAGCAGGGAAGCAGGGACTAGAGGCAGAGGAAATTAATGTGTGAGCACTTCTTGTGCAATACAGACCCTGAGACGAGGACACTGAGGTTTACAGAGGTTAAGTGACTTGCCTCTGGTACCACAGTTAGACAGTATTAGATTTGGGACTTGAATCCGAATATGTTTGACCCCAAAGCTTGTCTCAGGATAGAACCAGAGGGAATTTGCATGATGTAAGCTTGATCTTGTCCACTAGAGGTTATGACCCCTGAGCGCACATTGGTATGAAAAATTCCAACGTCCACCACACAAAACGGCAGTTAGAGGAGCCCCCTTTCTCTGATGACCTCCCTCGCTCCTCTCCATTTTGCAATTGTGCCGACTCAGTTTCTCCTTTCAGACACACCCCTTCCAACTTTGGTCTTATCTCTTATTTTACCTCCTTGTTCATAACGGGGCAGAGGCTCTCTCAGAGCAGAGGAAGTGAGTAGGGGTGAGTAGGGTGAGTAACCTGTTTTAGAAGGAAAATCCACAAGTGGGCAGCAGTATGAGGGGCTTCTGTTGGGAAATGCAGGTGTAGACAGAGGGAATCGGGGAAGTTTGGGGCTGGGAGGCATGAAAGAGGCTCAGAACAGTGCCACTTAAGTCCAGGGCATGGTTGGAAAGAATAGAGACACTGAGGTGGCTCAACACACAAAGAATTCCAAGGCTTCCATGATGTTGACCAAATTCTGTTAGTAGCAGGGCACTTTGTAGCTGAATGACTTTGGCCACAGAAGAGAAATCCAAGAGAGGGACTGAGCCATATCCCCCAGTCACTAACTGGTCATTGTGTAAAGGCAACACTCACAACCCACATTTGCAAGACATACGTTAAGGGATGCCCAGTTACGTTACTACAGGATTCTTTCCTTAACCGGGAAGAAAGATTTTCTTTCATTAGGCGGTTCCTCTAGTGCCTTTCCAGTTGAGTCCAATAGGTAGAAATTCTCTTAATACCCAATATACTGCAGTAGGAAGGAGGCAACAGGGAAAAAAGAAACAGAGAGGGACTTGCAATTGGGAGGCCTGGATCATAGTCTTGACCATCCTCTTGAGACCTTTCCTTACTTGTAAAGGGCGGGCTAACCCTAGACCACCTCTAGACTCCTGGTCTATCTCCACCCAGTCCCCAAAGCAAGATGGACCTGTGTATGAGAAGGCTTCTGATTCCGCTGCTGAACTGAAAACAGCCAGGCAAGCACAAGCTCAACCTTGAGCCCAGCTGGGCTCTGTCTGTCTGGAGCTGTGCTTTGCTTCTCCCTGTTTCACTCTAATCATTTGCTACAGCTACTCCTTCAAACATATCCCTCCTCTGCTCTGAGTTTTCCAGGGTTCTATTGCCCTCGAATTTATATGAATTGTATTAATCTACCAGACTGGACTCCCTGTTCCACTAAGCTCATTTCCTGAACCCTCTCCTGTCTTCCTCATCAGGCTTCCTCTCCCACCTCCAAACTATTGCACAAGATATCTCGTGATCTTCTCAAGGAAGCCTCCCCAGATGGGCGAATCCCAGGACTGCCACAAAGAGACCTGCTGATGGAGCCAGTCGCGGACTGAAGTGCATTGCACCCTGGCTCAGAGCTGCATCTGCTGGAGGAAAGAAACTTTTTTTACCCCCTCCCCCCACAATGTATCCCCTGCTTTCTAAGCTACATGTTACAAGGAATGCATTGCCCAGAAAAGGCTCCTCTTTAGTCTAGCCATGTGGCCCCAGCTGTGCCCCTCCTGCTCCCAATATTTTCCAGATCCAACCTGATCTCCCATTATCACAACTGTATTGACTCCTTATAAAGGTGCTTTCTTTCCCTCATAGTACCTAAAAGCTAGGATCTTCTCTATTTTTCCACGTCTTGGTGCCTCAGAAAACTGTTTTGTCTCCTGCTTCAGTTCCAACTTAAGGACCAAAGTTCGATAACAGGTAAAGCCTAGGAACCACAGGATCAGTAATTCAGGTGAGGAAGAGGTGGCCGTCCTCCTTGTTAGCAAGATTTGGTTCAGGGTAGCCCGGACCAGGTCTTGCTAACAAGGAGGGCTGGGTGAAAACACCTTCTGGAGGGCCCTGTCAGCCTATGACTCCCCCTCCAGCAAATGGGGCCAGCTCTATGCAAATGTGTTCTGGCCCAGGAGTTTGATTTCTTCTCTCAGAGCTCCTGGCACAGTAGAACCAACGTGAGCAGCCACTTGGCAGGACAGAGAAGGGCAGGCTAGCAGTCCCAAGGCTCAGGTGACAGGGCCAGGCCCAGGAGACGGGGATGTTGACTGGGGCTTTAACAGCACTCCTGATGCCAATCTCAGGCTGAAAACTCGATATTTCCACTTGGAACAACAAGAAAACACTAGCAGGAGGGTTGAGGAGAGGAGGGCAGTACATCAGGAGTGCCCCCTGCAGGTCCCACCGGCTGGTGCCAGACAGAGGAAGGTGGCCCAGGCTCGGTGGGTCTTTCAGGAGATCCTTGGGATGGTGATGATGGGGACCAGGATGAGCATAAAGAAGACGAAGAGGAGGGAGAAAAAGAAGAGACTAGCCAGCACTGACTAAGGACCTGCAATGTGTCAGGGGCATTGCCTGATACATAGTCCTCAAGACAACCCCCAAGAGACGAGTAATATGGTTGTTCTCATTTTTTAGATGAAGAAACTAAAGTTTAGACAGCTTAAGCAATTTGTTCGAAGTCACACAGCGAGTAGTGGACGGAACTGGGATTTGAACCCCAGCCATTTCCTCCCAGGCTTATATTATTCAGGCCCCCCTTTCCCCTCACCAGCTTATTCCAGGAACTTCCCTCCAGTGTCCATCTCTATGTCTTCCTCTTCTCTTGCTCATATTTTCTTTTTCCAACTCTAAGAGATCTGGAGAAGAGCAGATCAGTCTTTTGGATATAATAGTAGCGATAAAAACACCTCCCCCACTTTACATTTCTACACCACTCTCAGTTTTTAATTATTCCCCTGGAGAAAAAATAAACACTGAAGTATTTCCATGTCTCCAAATTTTTTATCAGCATTCCTGCAGCTATTTCTATATAGGCATGATTGATTTGTAAGAATATATGTACATTCCTCTTTTTAAGGTAACAGTGCGCTTATATACACATTCACGTATATAAACACAGTAATTATAATGGCTTATATTGATGTATTACAGATATTACATGGCTGAGGCCGTGTAACTTCGTGAAAAGAGCATGAGGCTGGCAATACCAAATGCTGACCAGGATGCAGAGCAACAGGTAAAAGAATCCATTGCTGATGGGAATGCAAGATGGTACACCCACTTTGGAAGACAGTTTGGCAGTTTCTTCCAAAACAACATACTCTCACCACGCAATCTGGAAATCAGGCTCCTTGGTATCTACCCAAAGGAGACGAAAACTTGTGTCCACACAAAAACTTTGCACGCTGATGTTTGGAGCAGCTTTATTTATAATTGTCAAAACTTGGAAGCAACCAAGATGTCCTTTTGGAGGTGAACGGATAAAGTGTAGTACATCCAGATAAAGGAATATTATTCAGTGCTAAAAAAAAAAAAAAAAAAGAGCTACAAAGCCATGAAAAGACATGGAGGCACCTGAACTACACCCTACTGATTGGAAGAAGCCGATCTGCAAAGGCTACACGCTGTACAATCCCTACTGTGTGACATTCTGGGAAAAGCAAGAGGGTGGAGATAGTCAAAAGATCAGTGGTTGACAGGAGTTGTAGGGAGGGAGGATGATTTTCCGGGTCGTGAGACTACTCTGTATGACACTGTGACGGAGGATATGATATCTGCCATTTGTCCAAACCCACAGTTGTACAGCACCAAGAGTGAATCCTAAGGTAAACCGTGCAGGTCAGGTAATCATGATGTATCAGTGAAGGTGCATCATTGTAACAAAGTGCCATTCTGGTAGGAATGAGGACAATGGGGGAGGCTGTGCGTGTGGGAGGGGAGGGGGCAGCCGGGGAATCTTTGTACCTTTCCTCTCAATTTTGCTGGGAACCTAAAATTGCTCTAAAAAAATAGTCTTAAAAAACATGGGCATGACACAGATGTGAGAGTTTGACTGCTACCTCTGTCCAACTCTGTGTCACTCAGGTTAAGGTAAATCACTTAGCTTTTCTCAGTTTTAGTTTCCTCATCTATAACTGGGAAAATTAACTTCTATTTCATAGGGTTGCCCTGGGATGTAATGAGCACATGTCTCGCTCATAGCTGATGCTCAATGAATGAGTAGAAGCAGTAGTGTGTGTTTGTGCCTTTCTCCCCCAGAGATCAGGCGCTCCTCCCAGGCATGAACTTACTCTTCTCTATAACCAGCACATTGCCTGGCACTTGGAATCCACAATAGTTTCCTGAGGGAATAGTTAGTAAGCCCTAACCTAGGCTTTTCTCTCTGCTGGATATTTGAGTTGTCGCTAGGCATTTTGTTAATAACGAAATATATTTCAAAGCCCTACCACTCCTAGTGTCTCAGATGACCTGCACGCCCCAGGAAGCAGGCAGAACAGGGGATATTTGCACATGCCCACACTCTGTGGAAGATGAAACAACTGTGGTTCAGGAAAGTGCAGTGACTCCTATGAGTCACATCACAAATCAGTGACAGAGATTAGAACCCCTGGCCCTGCCCTCCTTCCTCAGATGGGTCTCTTTTCCCTCTAGCTGCCTCCTTCCAGATCAGTGACCTCTCCAAAAACAGAGACGGTGAAAGTGGGCCTGCCTTACGAACAGTACCAGGCCCACAACCCCCTGCCAGAGGAGGTAAGCTGCCTGCCTCAATGGCCCTCTGAAACCCCAGGAGACTTATTCCCAAACACATCAGCGCCTGTATTTTCCCAGACCAAGGAGCTTCTTAGGAAAGAGCCAGCATGCCAGCTTTCCTTTTCTTTTTTTTTCGTTCCGATGAAAGGGTGAAGAGGAGAGCTCTGAGTTGTCCAGGAGGAGGGACTTTGACTAAAAATAGCTATGGCGTGTGGATCAGGCCCTAGTGGTACCCAGGACTGGGGAAGGGAGGGGGATGCTCTGGAGCTGTCGCCAGACTGGTTGCCGTGGAAACGAGAGAGGAGCAGGGGAGCCTGGGAAGTGGGGATGACACAGATAGCAAGTCCTAGGCAGAGCTGCCGCTACATATAGGAGAAACAGCAGTGTCTACGGCTCCCACCCTCCAAGGGGGCCCGTGGGGGGCGGTGTCAGGGGCATGGACGCCACCCCCCAGGGGTCTCTGCTGCCGGCTACTCTCCTCTCCACGTGCTGTGAGTTGAGTTGCGGGGGACTTGGGGTTTGGGCCCCTATTTCCAAGGCAAGTGGGGGTTTGGGAGGATCTGGTTCCTGAGGGAGTTTTTATTACCAGATCTCTGTCTAAAAGATAAGCCCTTTTGCTGCCCAGCACTCTGTAGGGGGAGGAGAAAGGGGTCCAGAAAAATGTGGTACTGGGAACTTCTGGAAAGGGGTCATAGCATGCACAAGCAATGAGGAGTAGGAGGTTGGAGGAACAGGAATTCTTGGAGGGAAGATGCAGCAATCAAGTCCTTGATCTTGAGATAGAACATTTTCACACCTTTCCCTCACCATGAGAAAAATGCAGCCCCCACCTTGAGGAGATGGGACACAATCATAAAGCTTACCTAGATCCCTGGCAAGAGGGAGAGTGAGAGATTTGGGGGGGTGATCAGATATTGGGGTTCCTTCCCATCCCTGGGCAGAAATCTGTCTAAGCAGACAGACTGAGGGTCAGACTACCTAAGACCCTGAGAGAACATTTTGACGCCCACCTAGAGCTAAAGCTAGGATGCATGAGACCCGGATACTTTCCTGCATGACCTGGGGTCTCTGAGCCAGTTAAAGCTTAGAGATCACTTCTGAGGACATCCTGAGCTGCAGGGATGGAAAAGGATGCCCATTGATGGGGGAGAGGTAGACCTTAATCTGTCATTGTCATGGGGTTCCTGGAGCCCACATCCCCTGACTTAAAAGAAATATGGGAGTGCCCCTAAGCTCTAAACCATTTCTTTTTGGTTTATTCTCCTGCTCTCTATCCCAGTACACATGCCCCACTCCAAAGGTCTATCTGCAGAGAACCCCACTCCATAACCTAAAATTCTGGAGTGCTGGGTTTAGAGGGTTTAGAGTTACATATCCAGGCAGTTTCTCCCCAGGACCAGGTCGGACCATCTGTTTGATCCTTATGTCACACTCCTCCATCCCCCACCCGACTCCCTCACTACCATCCCAGGTTTGCTTGGAGTGGGGGAAGAGAATGATTCCCAGTAAAGAGAAAGGAAGGTTGAAGAGTCTGAAGTCCTTATTCTAGGGACCCTGGTTGCCTGAGGATGGGTTCTGGACCCTTTCCTAGGCAGACTGAAGCCAGAAGAGCACCTCAGGGAGAATTTAAAGCAAAATCAGGTGCACTTTGCTTGGAATGTGGGCTTTGGGGCATATGGCAGGTGGGGGCGGGCTGATGTTAGGATAGTCAATGGAAGTGGGAGGCTGGAGGGAAATAAATGTGGGTGCTTAGGGCTTATTCGACCTGATCTTGTGTGTCTCAGGAAGAACAGGATACTAGAGACAAACAACCCTAACTCTTAGTGACCTCTGTGCTTCCTTCACCCCTGCCATCTGTGTTGATCTTGTATCATCAGGGTCCCCTCCAACTTTTCAGGCTGTCTCCATTGGGAAAATGTCCAGGGAAAACAAGGTTGACACAAGAGCAGAAATGATGCTGGTTAGGCCACAGGGAGGATTTCCAGCGGAGATTTCATGATGTCTAGACCTTGCTTCCCACAGTTCCCCATGTTTCTCCTTGTAAGCTTGTTGAAGGGAGGAAGAAGTGGGACAGTGTAGAGTGAGGTCCAGGGATGGGAAAATGGGACAGAATTTCTGTGGGTCAATCATGGGGTAAACTTCAAAAGGGCCTGGTTAGACCTGCAGGTTGCATTGCAGCCAACAGTCACAGGTAGGAGGGACAGGGAGGAGGTGGGATGCACTGACAACAACCAGGGACAAGAGAGTGGAGTGGAAGTCCCTAGGGTAGGGAAGGCTCCACATAGCAGAAGAGGATTAACCTAGCCTACTCCAAAGAGCCCCCAGTTTAATGATTTCATGAAACTACCTCCCAGTCTGGGTCTTCTGCCCCAGAGTGACTGTGAGGAGCCACACACCCCAGCTAGAGATGGTGGCACCAAAATCTCTGATCGTTCCTACACTTGGAAATAATCGCCGAATTTGCATAGTGCTATCCAGTTATCTCTTACATTATCCTATTTGATCTTCACAAGTTCTTGAGCGTGGGGGAGCAGTTGGGCTGTGTGTACTGTTCCCATTCTACTGATGCAAAAATTGAGGCTCAGAGACACAGAGTGACTAGCTGGGGGCCACCCAGCACCCAGCGCAGCTCCATTAATTGAGCAAACCTTTATTAAGCCCCTGCAGGACCGCCAGCGCCACCGAGGCGCCCCGTGAGGGGAGGCGGGCGGCGGCCGCCGGGGCCTCCGGCGCTCTGCGGGTGTCCCCAGCGCTCGCAGTGACGCTGCGGCCGCCATGGCGCAGGAGAACGCCGCCTTCTCGCCGGGGCCCGAGGAGCCGCCGCGCCGCCGCGGTCGCCAGCGCTACGTGGAGAAGGACGGCCGCTGCAACGTGCAGCACGGCAACGTGCGCGAGACCTACCGCTACCTGACCGACCTGTTCACCACCTTGGTGGACCTGCAGTGGCGCCTCAGCCTGCTCTTCTTCGTGCTGGCCTACGCGCTCACCTGGCTCTTCTTCGGCGCCATCTGGTGGCTGATCGCCTACGGCCGCGGCGACCTGGAGCATCTGGAGGACACGGCGTGGACGCCGTGCGTCAACAACCTGAACGGCTTCGTGGCCGCCTTCCTCTTCTCCATCGAGACAGAGACCACCATCGGCTACGGGCACCGCGTCATCACCGACCAGTGCCCCGAGGGCATCGTGCTGCTGCTGCTGCAGGCCATCCTGGGCTCCATGGTGAACGCTTTCATGGTGGGCTGCATGTTCGTCAAGATCTCGCAGCCCAACAAGCGCGCTGCCACGCTTGTCTTCTCCTCGCACGCCGTGGTGTCGCTGCGCGACGGGCGCCTCTGTCTCATGTTCCGCGTGGGCGACCTGCGCTCGTCGCACATCGTCGAGGCCTCCATCCGCGCCAAGCTCATCCGCTCGCGCCAGACGCTCGAGGGCGAGTTCATCCCGCTGCACCAGACCGACCTCAGCGTGGGCTTCGACACCGGCGACGACCGCCTCTTTCTTGTCTCGCCGCTCGTCATCAGCCACGAGATCGACGCCGCTAGCCCCTTCTGGGAAGCGTCGCGCCGCGCCCTCGAGAGAGACGACTTCGAGATTGTCGTCATCCTCGAGGGCATGGTGGAAGCCACGGGTGCGGGCGGGCCCGAAGAGGGGAGCGGGATTGGCGCGGGGTGGGCAGAGCTGAGGAAGGCAGGAGCAAGAAGAGGGGCCGAGGAAGGGAGTGGGGATGGAGGGGCTGGTGGAGGATGAGGGATGAGGTGATATAGCGGGACCTGGTGGGAACTGGGGATGGGGGGAGAACGGAGAGAGAGCTCAGAGGCATTCCCCTAAAGGGGCCTGGGCTGAGAGGTGTGTGCCACTTGGAATAGGGAGAGTGCTAAGATAGCTGAGTCGGTGTATAGTTCCAAAGCACTCCACACCTCTGAGTTCTTTTAATCCTAACAAGAATCCTCTGCAGGTAATTTTTTGTCATTGTGCTCAGTTTTCAGAGATGAGATTTCCCCTGACTAAAGTTTAAGGATATTGTCCACTGTCATAAGCCAATAAGAAGACATGCCCGGATTGGACAGAGGCGGTCTGCCTTCAGGGTTTAGTGAAGTAGAAAGAAGGGGTTGGATCAGGGTTTTTCATTGTGCAGAGATCCAGGGCCCTGGAATTTGATGCTGAAGGTTTTCTATGGCCTGAGTTATTCTTAGGCTGAACCTTAAAGAGAGGTTAATACCTGGTCTCACTTCTGCCTCAGTTTCCCCATTCATCAAAAGAACCTCAGATATTTACTGGTAGGGGAAATAGATGATATTACCAAGTCAATCCCCTTCCCAAAAGAAACTGGCGAATCTCCTGGGTTATCAGTACCTCCAACTCAGACACAGTGAAGGGAGGGGTTGGGAACAGGTAGGAACCGCAAATGAGGTCTCTTGGGACTTGAGATCTAGAAATTGGGAGATGAAACTGCAGGTGGAGAACCAGAGGCCCACTAGGGGGCGCTGCAGTTCTCTGCTGTTTTCTCCAGCAAGCTGGTGCCTTGGGGTCCCTTTCTCCACGCTGGGCCTCTGCTTCACATTTCCACCCCAACTGCCCCTTAATGTTTCCCATTCCTCCTTCACCCCAACTGGGTTGGCCCTGGCTATTTCCCCTTCCCTTCTCCCACATACCCCATTCCTTTTCCGTCCTCTCTCCTTTTTTGCCAGTGTTTCAGGCAGGCCCCTTCCTTTCAGGGAAGTTCTTGCCTGGCCCTCTTTTCCCATTGTGCCCCCCAGCCCCTTCTTCTCTTCTCAGCCCCTCCATCCCTGTGCCTTTATCCTTTTTCCCCCTGTCCCTCTGGATACCTCCTATTCCAGCCTTCACTGACGAATACCAGTGTCCCCAAGATGTCTCAGGGCCAGCCTTTCCATGTTGAGAGACAGTCTCTGGTTAGAAATGTTTCCTCTTCTCTTCCTTCTTGTTCTAAGATGGACATGGGTTGGGGAAGAGACCCTGGGGTGGGAGGAGAATGCCCTGTCCTGGGGTGTGCACAGACCCAACAGGGAAAATATGACACAGGCCCAGGGCAAGGAGGACTGAGGAGGGTGAGGTGCAGAAGATAGAGATGGAAGCATGTCTGGTTTTTCTAGAGAGATAAAGCTGGAAACGATGGTAATATTTTGGGTGAGAGAGTCAGGATTCAAAATGCTTTTGAAAAGCAAGAATAATGAGCCAAAACCCAACCAGATGACATTTAAAAGGAATAAATATAAAATTCTACATTTAGGCTTTTAAAAAATCACTTATGTAAGCACAGCATGGAAGAGCTCTGGAGAAAAAAGAACTGGGGGTTTTAGTTGGCCACAAGCTTGATGTCGTTGCAGTGTGATGCAGCCTCCGAAGATGTTTATGTAATGTAATCTAGGGCCCTGTTAGTTAAAACATCATGGCCAGAAGAGATGATGAGCCCGCTCTAATGCACAGATCAGCCCATAACTGGAGAATTTATCACACTCAAAGTACTTAAAAGGTCCCTCCTTGGCCATTCTGATTTGCAATCAAGAAGGCAAAGTTTTGGGAAGCCAAGTCAATGAGGAATGGTTGAGGGAGCCAGGAATGTTTAGTTAAGAAGAGAAGACCTGGGCGGTGCCTGTGGCTCAGTGAGTAGGGCGCCCACCCCATATACCGAGGGTGGTGGGTTCAGACCCAGCCCAGGCCAAACCACTACAAAAAAATAGCCGGGTGTTCTGGCAGGCACCTGTGGTCCCAGCTGCTCAGGAGGCTGAGTCAAGAGAATCACCTAAGCCCAGGAGTTGGAGGTTGCTGTGAGCTGTGTGACACTGCCGTGGTACTCTACTGAGGGTGACAAAGCGAGACTCTGTCTCTACAAAAAAAAAAAAAAAAAAAAAAGAAGAAGAGAAGACCTGAAGTTCCTGTTTTCAAATACTCAAAAGTGTGTCGACTGGAAGAGGAATGAAACTCAGGAGGCAAATTTTATTTTTTATTTATTTATTTATTTATTTATTTTGAGAAAGAGCCTCAAGCTGTCCACCTGGGTACAGTGCTGTGGCAGCACAGCTCACAGCAACCTCCAACTCCTGGGCTCAAGCGAGTTTCCTGCCTCAGCCTCCCAAGTAGCTGGGACCACAGGC